AATTTCTAAGATGATGTAATTTGCCACCTAAAACATCTTGCTGGCCAAGAGACTTGTCTTTACCAGTACAACTGCTTAAAGAGAAACCATATGTCCTAAGTGCTGGATGAAAAAAAAGAAATAAAAGTTTTTCTAGAGTATTACAAGTTAAACTTTACTGTGCAACCCTATCTGGGATACAATAACAAAAGTAACCTGACTTCCTCAAAACAATGCAAGTAACCTAACCATTAGTCAAATTGTCTACAGTAATCCTTGATTGATTCTAATATTCTCCAGGATGCAACTGAGTCACATTATCTCCTTTCCCAGTAGGAATTTCCTCAAATAAGTCAGACTCAAAACCTGAGAAATACCATATTTATGCCCTCAGATAGCACTTCCTAGTACAATTATCATCAGTGGTATAAAGTGCTGTGCTAACACCACCAACTAGTTCTAAAAAAGAGAGATCACAGAATCATCAGAGTTGGAAGGGACCTCTAGAGATCATCTAGTCCAACCCCTCCGGTCCCCCACTAAAGCAGGATTGCCTAGAGCACATTACACAGGACTGCATCAAGGTGAGTCTTGAATGTCTCCAGAGAAGGGCATTTTGCAACCCCCCTGGGCAGCCTGTTCCAGAGTATTATCACCCTCACTGTAAAGAAGTTTTTGCTAATGTTCAGATGGAACTTCCAGTGTTCCAGTTTATGCCCATTGCCCCTTGTTCTATTGCGGGGCACTAATGAAAAGAGCCTGACTCCATCCTCTGTACACTTGTTTCCAGGTCTAAAACAGGGTGAAAAAAAAGAGAGAAGTATAGTTTTTTTCTGGAGACCCACATTTACCTTTTCTCATAGGCCAAAATTACAGTTCACTATCTTTCTGTTTTGTGCTCCCATTATATCAAACTAAACTTCTGGAAAACAAGTGAAGATCCCTAAATCAAATAATAATCTCCAAGTCAGTTGTGCCTGTTCGTGCAAAACATGGATATCCACTAATAGTACTCTGGTGTTTGTGCAAGACCAATAAACACCATGCACCTGTTCAGTACCATTCTTCAAGCACACCAAAACTAAAAAGTAACTGTTAACAAACGAAAGTGTAAAGACTTCTTGATAGTTTTCTCCCATATATTAACACAGGCTATACAGCCTTGCCTCTACGAAGTCCCCTTTCTCAATTCTTGCTACAGTAAAACCAATCCTAAAAGAGTAACAGCCAAGCTGGCAATCTGGGAAGCTACTCCAGGTTCTTAGTCATGAAAAGCTTTTGTTAGGTTTGTGTTAACTTCTGAAGTCTGTCAATAATTCTTCTTTAATAACCAAAAATCCTTACCAACACCACCACCAAGAAGTAGTGGCTTCATGTCCTACCCCATCGCTAGGAATTTAGTGGCTAGGCCACTTGGAGAAAGAACCTCAGATGGAAAGGAACAGGAATGAGGCAACCTGATGATAACTATTTTAAAATGTGCTTACAGCTTTGTGACAAAAAGCCAGAAACCTCCAAAAAAATTAATCCTGCCATGAAACATGGAATTGCACAGGACAGAGAAACTGCCAGAAGACTGTATGAGAGACTGAAGAAAAGTAATTGCATACTTGGTACTGAAACACACAATATGTGGCAGAAGGGAGAAAAGAGGGGAAGTTCAATTTAATTGTAATAGGAGACTGTTATTGCTTCAACAAGTGTTCAGTTAGAGACCTTATTAATAAAATAAACTAACTAATTAATTAATAGGCAAAAATGAAATTAAAATAAGTGGAGGTATTATTAACATTCCAACAACTCTTTTTCCCCTTAAATTTTTTTGAATCAGAGAAGCTCACAGAGGTGTGCAGATGGTTGCAGAGAGACAGTCCAACCACCTGGTAAATATTAGAAAAAATTATGGCAGAATTCAAGCAGTCCCACAGTTTTTGGAACACGGTGAGGAAAACTTTGAGTCACAGAGATGGAACAAGCCAACAGAAGACAGACAATTTTATATTTGAAATTCTAAAAATCAGAAGTTCTCCTATAGGAGCAGCAGCTAAGACTGTTAATGTGGAAAGTAATTTCTATAAAAGCTCTCAGGAGGCAAGAGTCAGAAATTTCAGGACAAGCAGAATTATTGCAGGGGAACAAAGATGTTGGTGAACAAAGGCAAACATTAAGAAAATGAAGGGACTAGGCAGCAGCAGATTCCCTGAAAATATATTCTATGAAGAAAAGGAATACAGAAGAGCTGGATGTTATTAAGAACTGTATGTACAGATGCAAGTACAACTTTACCGGCTCAGTTTCTTAATTTAATCACAAATTTAAGAATTAGTAAAAATACTGTATTATTTATTAATATAATTAAATTGAAAGCACAAAAGCATACCGTCCTGGCATGGTGAGAAGCAGTATGTTTACAACAAAAGCTTCCTGAATTGACAATGAGAAGCTTCATCCAAATAAATGGCAAAACCAAGGAAAGACAGAAAATTACCCATCATTAAAGATTATCGAAAGAAACAGCAAAAGCATTTTGAAAGAAATTCAGAAAGATGCATGCATGAGATTAAACTGGGAAGAGAAGTAACAAAAAAGGTTATACAAATAAATTACAGGTAGGACAAGTGGCTTTCTAAAAGCTGTACGAAGCTTTTTTTCTCAATAATAATGGAGAAAGAAACACTTGAGAAATGTTTAGATAAACTACATGTAAAGCCTGCTAACTGCTAGCAAAAACCTTCAAGATCTCTGAGAGAGGAGGAGAACAGCAAAAGGTCTATGAAAGGCAAACCTAGCCGACTCCCTATGAAAAGGGTATAAGCATATATAGATTACAATATTTGCAGTGATTAAATAACTAAATAAACAATACATAAAACATCTTGGAGGATAACATGGTAAAACCAGCACAGATTTCTTAAGGATGAATCTTGTCACATATCGAATTCTTTGATGGAATAACTGGGCTGATGACTCATAGAGAGAAGCATACACTACAGCTGAATTCTGACACTATGCCAATGGTAAATTTATTTCAAGAAAAGAGCAATGCAGTTTAACTTGAATCAACACAGGAGGTTGGTTCAGAAAGTGCAGTCAGGATTTTGTAGTAATGTGTACCAGTCTGGTTCTAGCTGTGTGTTCAGTTTTTTATTTTAACAGCTCTAATGCATATGCACTAAGTTTTTACTGATATTTTATTCAATAATTAGCATATGAATAAAACCAAAACACATTTAATAAAGCAATGAAAATGAGATGTTCATTTTGAACTACAAAACTACACACATTTGAAGATCTTTCTTATTCACCTTCCTTGCTTTTGTATTTATCTGCTCTTGCACAGTACCCCACCTTAACCTGCATATCCAAACTTATCCTTCCTTCAGAAGGATATTAAAATCAGTGTTGTAATAGTAAAGTATTCAGTTTCTGTTTTCTCTATATTTAATTTGATTTTTTTCAGGCTAACATATCTGAGGTGAGGACCTGCTAAGAACTAAGTAAAAAATGAAGCTTCGGGTTTTGATTGATTGTTCATTTTTCCTAGCCCCTCGGTGTACCCTCTAACTAAAAAAAAAGTTATTTTTTCCGTAAATATTTAATAACCTTTTCTTCTTTCAAAAGTGAATTCCATCAGTACTTGTTGATTGCATGTCTGCAATGCTGAATCCACTTCCTCAATACAAATTTGGTATCAGAAAGACAGATTTTTTTTCTTGCATTTTCCTAGAATGAACATCCAATGAACACTGAATTTTCTAAAAATAATGGAAACAAGTGAGGCAAGTCACATCCTTAAAAGGTAAACTACAAGATTTTTGAAAAATCACAAAACACACAGTAATTAAGCTAAATCCCTAACCAATTACTTAGAATATCTGTCTTTCTGGAGGTTAGACTACATGACATAATCTGCAACCCTCAAACAAAAAATACCAGACTAATGCTATATAGCCAGCCACCCCTCTCTCCTGCAGAGAGGGCAAAGGTTTCAGATCTGTAGAGGAAAGGAAATCTTCCCTGGAGAAGCAGTGGTTTCTTTAATGTGCAGATACAGAAAGGTAACTACGGCAGTCTCCATAGCCTGGACTAGAGCCTGCTTAAAATTTTGATGAGGAAACAAGGAACAACATTTCACCATCTTGATTCTTCAGCACAAACTAAGAGAAGAACATGCCATGATGGATAATTCTCCCTGAAAATGTTTGCATTTAATTGTTTACCTAGTGTACAGTGCTTCCCTGCAACTGCTGCACTACCAACCTTGTTACTGTCCTCAGCAGAGAGAAGAATGGAGGCAGAAAATAATAAAACTACAAAAAAGGAAAAAAAATGTTTTTGTGTCTCTGAAATATGCCTAAAAAAAATATTTTCACTGAATACTAAGCCAATAAGCTACTAGTAAATTAAAATCTCTTTGCTGCTAGTTTTTGCTATTTTACCCTCAGTTAAATTAAAAAAAAAGTAATTCCATCTAAGCACAGTTCAGTATCATAAAGGTCTTTGTATTTTAAAAGCACTTTGAAACAATTATTTTTAAGGGAGCCCTTGACAATTAAATGACGCAGTTAAATGAGTGTCATAGAAGATGTGTAATGATTTTTTTGTGAAAAATTGAATTGAATAATGAATATTTCCTCTGAGCAAACAAGAAATTCTAGGAATTTCTTGTGCAAAGGATTAATTCACTTTCCTTGTATCTGGGGACAGTTTCCATCCTACTCTTCTTTTCTCCTTCCTCTTCCACCTCAGAGTGCTGGAATAAAGCTAATAGTTCATTTAGCTTTAAACCTCAGCCACAGTGCACTGAACAGGCTGACATGTTATTTCATGTGAGAAAAGAAGCTGTGATTTAATCCCATTTTCACTAGCTAGATTCCTAGCTAATGTATCTGGGGACAGTAAAGCCTGCATTTGCTGTACAACATCTGCATTATATAATGTTTGGCCCCCTGTATTTTCACAGAGCATAGGTGAAAAATTAGCACCTGATGTGCAAGAGTGGTAAATCTCTATATACTCACAGATGTAGAAATATTCCCGGCCTGGCCTGAACTCAAATCCTAGCGAGAAGGGCGTGAAGAGCTGGAACTTTTCTGAGAACTTCAGTGGTCCATTCGGGGAATGTGGTCGATTACACTCCCACCTCTTGAACCCTTTGGATGTGTGATCACAGGAGCTGTAGCCATCAAAGTTCACCATGTACAGAACATAGCGTTCGGTCTTATCTTCTGGCACCGAGTCTTCATAGTGAGGGCAGAACACATCCAGGTAGTCATTGATACAGACATCAATGTGGTAGTCGCCCTGCTGGAATCTGAAATCACAAGTAAAGTTCAGAAGTAAGCACAGTTAACTCAGGATGACTTTGTTGTAGTGTAGCATAAACAGGGCACCACTAATTGCAGTCGATTTTGGTCCAGTCATGCACATTTACTCTCAGAAATAACCCCTACAATTCACCAGAATTATCACAGATTGCTCATGCAGGACCGTAATCAGATGGCCTTCTGGATAAAGGTTTTGCTTTCTTCTCTTACAAAATGAGTCTCTTGATAATACACACCAAGTTATATCCTATAGTTCTCCATACTCCCTGCAGTTCATTGGATAAACAAACTATGAAAGTATCTTATTTATTTTGTTGTGTTGTCTTTTTATTAATTGGAAAAAGAAGCAGGAAGAAGGAAAGAAGCCAAAGTTGTATCAGCCTCCCCAAATCAGTTTCTGTATAAACATCTACATACACACATAAATAAATAACCTAAGCATATCCTCTTCTCTGAATCAGACAGTAATCACCCTGAGCAGAAAGCTGATTTGATTGCAAGTACCTATAGTTACTTCAAGAGTACTAACAGGTTTACTCTTTCTCCATGAAAACAGCCGTTTGCGACAGTACAAAGACTGTATTGCTTTTAAAAGATATTTGAAAAACAGTGCATCTCCTTTGCCAAAAGCACACAGTTGAGATGTTGCTCTGTTCAGCAATAATGCAAATTATCAGCACTCTGCCTAACCTGCAGTTCTAAATGACTGTCAGCGCAGATGCATTTTATTATTACTTTTACTGAGGTGTCCTTAGAGATGAGTGACTCTTGTTTTGTTATGGGTGGTGTGTCCTTTTTTCTCCCCTCCACATTTCACTTATATTACTTCTCTAATAATTCCCATCGTATCTGGAAGAAACTATGTGAACAAATGATTCCATAAAGCAGGTCTGTGTCTCTATCAAACTCCCTGGGGTAGCCGAAGAAACCAACCACTGACCTACTCCACTTCAGGCTAACTAGGCTACTTGTAGCTTCTCTCTCTCATGGCTGCAGTTGTCAAATGTACCACAAAGCAATAAAAAAGCCATGACACATTTAACTATAATACTTCTATTTAGCTGAGGGGCATATTTTAAACACTTGATGTGCATGAAATCTGCCATCTGGATGCTTCTATTTAATTTCAGAGAAAAAGCAATGAGCTGCTGGCCCTCCAAGGATAAATTCAGAGCAAAACATACCTTTTAATATTCGTACAATAATTGAACTTCAATAAAACAGCTTTTTAAAGGGGAAAAACTAAGCATACATCAACACATGATATATCTGTATAATTTCAGCCAGTGTGCAGCCTCACGGTTCTATTCCATAATATGGAAAAGCCTCTCTGAACCTCAGTTACTCCAGGTAAGGTCACATTCATCTAAATAACTAGTTAAAAATATATTTTTATACTCCACTGCTTTCAAAACATGTCACCTAAGTAAACACTGTCTTAACACATTTGCAAAATGTAGTTTTAAAATTGGTGTCTGTTCTCTGTATCAGTTAACAGTATGCCATTTCTTACAGCTAATGAAAAAGTTATGAATAGGTAAGCCACATTCTGGCAATGATAGCTCAATATTTATTTTTATATTTTCTTCTTAAATTAAGAGTTTTAGTAAGTAAAAATAAATATATATCTGTGCATGTGTACTATCTTTTAACCAGGTGACAGACAATGCAGTTTTTTCTAGGGATTCTGAACATTACCTCTTATATCAGCCTGTGCTTTCACAATAATGCTCAATTAGTTTTGTGACAGCTATTATATGCTTTCAGAACTACACTTACGTAACCATAGACATTCAGGATCAGACTGGTTTCTTTAACAGTAGGCACTTTCAACACAAATAACCACATATGAACAGTTTCTCCACCTTCTCTTTAAGTCAATGGAGAGAAATAGAAACTTTGGAGTCCAATTCATATGGCTTGTTTAGGTCCAAGGTACATTGGAATGAGATGGATCAAGCTCCAGAAGCAGTTGTTTCTCTCCTTTAACCAAAAGGAGGCTCTAGACAGTCATTTCAGATTCTGTACTATAAATAGCTGAATTTGAAAGAATCCAACCGCAGTCTATGATAATGGAGATGACAAATACAAAAAGACAGACAACTAAATATTTGATCACACCTTAAATCTGCATTAGCAATTAAATCATACCTGTAATCTGCACCAGTGAGCTGTTCTACCCAATACTGCAAGCAAAGAGCATATCTGACTTCCTTTTGGCAAAGTTGCCTTCTGTCTTCTTGTTAAACAAACAAATCCACAACATATGTGTCCACTTTACTCACCGGTATTTTAGTAGATTTATTCTTATTTTTGCTTCCCTAAGTAGTAAAGCAGTTGAGTGTCTTCATTCATGCCAGCGCACCCTTGCCTGTCAAACACGAGGAAAGCATGACACAAGGGCTGCCGGCAAAGCAGCTCTGAGGGTGAAGTACACAGCCAAGTCCTTTCTACCCCAGTGTCCCTTCCTCCCTGGTCTCCTGCTCTCTCAGTATTTTCATTCCACACTCATTCACCACAGTCAGAAAGTGTTTACATTTAAACATCTAAAAAAGAAAGACAATGGTGTATATTTTAAGTCTTCGAAACTGGCCTTTAGCTGATACTGCTAGCAAAGTACTGAACCTGCTACAGGGAAAACGTACCAAGGTATTTTATCAAGTAGCCTCTTCACTCTATACAGTAACAGCAATACTGAGAAGAGGTAAGGAACTGAAAGCAGGTATTTATTTCTCCATGTGTAATATCCTAAAGAAGTCAGTAATCAAAACCTCAGCATGTGTACTGAACAGATGTAGAGCTAATTTTATTTTTCCAAAAGAGGCTACAAATCTGCAGCATGCCCCTTGGAGTGAACTCAGAGCATTTCCGATTCTCCAGCTACAAGGCAGTGTGTTGTGTTTATCTTTTCACTGAGAAAAGAAAAAGATCTTTAACCTAAATAGAAAGGCAAATGATGGCTGTAAGTAACCCACAAAAAAATTCCACCAGCTCACACTCCTCAAAGCTGTTACAGGAAACACTTCAGAAACATTATTTCCAAGAATTGCAAAATACATCTAAGAAGAAAATACTTAACATCTACAGGCTGAAACCTCTTACTATAGTGTAATGTCAACTGTGAGAGTGAAACAGAAGTTGCCTTTCAAATGAAAGCATTTATCAATGTATAGCAACCTGCATATGTTGAGAAGCACAACATGTAGAGAGAAGGTGGAATCTGTAAACCAATATATTTGTAGAGATAACAGGAACAGCAGACTGCCTTTTGACTGTATTTATGGTTTAGCTAGTTAATTCCCTTTTTCAATCCCATTCAAATCAGAAAGGATGCTTTCATACACTCTAGTAATGCTACTGATACTCCTTTCCTCAGTTAGCTTTCATCTTGTCAGAACAGATCCTCATCTGGACTCCCATGCCCTTCTGGAATCACGCAGTAATCAGGATTTTTTACAATAATTCCACTATGAGGTAGAAACTATTCCTATGTAGAATCTGCATAACAGAACACTGTGTTGTAGACACCAAACAAAAACGCTTCTCAAAAACTCTAACAGGATCTGCAAACCTTCTTGCAAAGAATGTCATTTGTCTCCAAGCACAGCAAAAAACAACTATTCTTCCAACGTAACCTTCATTTTGTGTCAGTTGGCATCCAAGCAGTGTCTTGGAAACCTGCATACTACATACCTAGCTATTAGGTGGTAGGGCTACAAAAGCCATTTTGAAGATAGAGACAGACAGTTAAGTAACTTCTAAACCCAAATATTTCCAGTCAACAAATATCAGCTTGGTACATAAAACTTGCCCACTTCTTCCAGCAAAGACAATCACACAAATGTTTTTGTGTTCAGGTGCCACTGATGAAATGTCCACTTACTCAGGATGCAGAGGAAGAACACAGTAACTTTAACAACAGAAACCCAAGACTAGCAATAGCTTCCGCTTGTTGATTCCTGTACAAATCTTATTAGATATATTCTATCACCCTTCCTGTAACATTAACACACCAGGTGCTCTACTTCAAGGCAAGTGTACTGGGAAATTTCCTGTTTACTCTTTCAACCTTCCTCTGTTTAGAGTCTCCTTTGTCAAATGCTTGTGGCAAAGCTTCATTGTCAATGACAAAAGACTTCAAGTAACTGCTCTAACAATGAATTATGACATTCTGGTCTTTCAGTCAGGCATCAGAAGGGATCAGATGTAAACAGCTCTGATCCTACTACCTAGAGCCTGCACAGCCATTATCAATGCACAGAGGACACTGCCACTTCTGAATGCCTTACATCAGTTGCCTTGCTCTCAAATGAAATGTAGAGCAAAATCAACAACATTCATGGAACCGATTTATTCTTGGGGTAAATATAAAAAACATAATTACCCATAGTTCTTCAGAAACTATAGAGACAGAGACATGTGCTTTGACTACCTAGAATTTGATACTAGACAAACCAAGGCACAATGTATATGGGTAGGGATAAAAGGGAAGGCCAGTGAGGCTGGTATCCTAGTGGGAGTCTGCTACAGACCACCTGAGCAGGATAAAGAGACTGACAAGATGTTCTTTCTGGTGCGTAAGCCAGAAAAGGAAGGTTAAAGAAAGTGTACCTCCCCTGATGAGCCACAATAGAGAAATCATAACAACAGATGAGGAGAAGGCCAAGGTTCTCAACAACTTTTTTGCCTCTGTCTTCACTGGCAACCCGTCTCCTCACAGCTCTCATGTTGATGGACCATAAGATGCGGACCAGAGAGACAAAGTCCCCACTGTAAGTGAAGATAAGGTTTGTGACTATCTGAGGAACCTGAAGATATACAAGTCCATGGGACCTGATGAGATACATCCGAGTCCTGAAAGAATTGGTGGATGTAACTGCCAAACCACTTTCCATGATATTTGAAAAGTCACAGCAGTCAGGTGAAGCCCCTGGTGATTGGAAGAAAGGACATGTTTCGCCCATATTTAAAAAGGGTAGAAAGGAGG